CAGCATCGGGCGCAACGCTTTGGGAGAAGCCTCGCGGTGGGGGAGAAAGACCAGATCGGCTCCTGCCTTTCTTCCCCGCCACCTGGTTTCTCCTAAAGGGCTGCCCCAATGGTGCTTTCAGCAGCGGAGAAGCTGCCCGGTGGGGGAGAAAGGGCTGGAACGGATTAATGGGTTTTCAATGCATTCCTATGGGGAATGCATTTTCGACCTATGGAATTTTCAACCTATGGACACTGTTCTAATACGGATTAAGTCTGTAGGTCGACACTCCACTGTAAAAGGCATAACAGTATACCAGAATTAAATCCCAGAATTAATTCTGGGATTGAGTCTGAGAATGGAGTAGCACTCATTTTTCTTAAAAATCCACCTATAATTATCCCAATGCTTCTTAATTTCTAGTGTATAATTCAGGGCAGAAGTGTCACTTTGATGTTGCTAGTGTGAAACTTTTAGGAATCAGAAATCCTTTGGAGATTGACTAGTAGATCCCAATCAACTTTCCACTTAATGTCTCGGGAAAAGACAGCTTGAAAAAATACGGTACAAAAACAAATAATGTTTATTAAACATAACTGCTTACTTTTGCCAGCAGGCAGCATGCATTACATGACCACAACTGCCAGTATGAGTTCCACAAGACAAGTCAGGATCCATGAAAAGAGGATCAATCTTATCTATTGAGGAAAAAGTAGAAATAATTATTGCATCATTGTGAACTTAAAATTTTGCTCCCCTCCCCATCTAACAAAATTGGAGATCTAGTTTTCTTAGATATATATTTTCAGAGAAGCCAAAATAGTTCCAACTCTTATTTATGATTCTCCATAAGTTAAGAAATGGCCTTTTGCACAAAGCGTCTATGCTAAGTTCAGGTCCGGCTTTCTTTTCAAGTTGGAGGGAGCAACAGGGCTCATCAATTGGCAGCCTTTAAACAATAAATTGTATTAAATTCATTTGCATTATAATTTCAGAGAAAAAAGAAGAGAATTTCCTCTTATGTTTTACATTACAGTGGTATCACAAAAGAAGAGAGAACTTTGCTCATAACTTTTATTTTAGAGAATAAAATTTAAAATATTGTTGACATAACAATATCTTGCAGTTTCTCTTAGCTGTATCAGCAAACTTCAAAAAGTTATCTTCTACTATGAAAGACTTTCCTTGTTCCCTGTAGCCCCCATGCCCTGATCAATCTGCTACAGAGAGCTGTGGGAAAGGTGCTGAAAAATGCATAGGTAGCTGTTGAGGGCAACTGCTGAAAGTCACAGTCCTCCTGATTCCCCTTATGGAAACCTTCTACTGGTTGAGGAAAATCAGTTGGATATCAACTTATGGATTTCCTATTAGATGGCTTAAAAACTTTTATGGAATATTAAGAAAAAATGCAGTACTGTAAATTGATCTAGCATAGCTCTCAAATAAGATTTAAACAATATCAACATCTATGCAAACAGGTGGCTTAAAAGAGAAGGTACATACCTCCCGAAAGTTCAAGCATTTTCCCCCTGTGTTGGGTTAAGGCAGTGGATTTCTGGACACAGGCAGATAAAACCATGGCAGCACTCTCTTGTCTCACTTCTTGTTCTTCCTGGCATAAGATACATGTCAACACTTCTTTTTCTGAAACAGTTGGGCCTCTTTTGGGCCCCAAGGCAATTCTGGTATAATCTATAGTTGGTGGGCTGAGATAAAGACATAAAAAGACTCAAACTATCAAAGCTTCAAACAACAGATATTATCAGAAAAGCAATCAATATTATTACTTGTAATTTATATTTACATAAAATCCAAAAAAAGTTTAAAACCTCTATGGGAATAGCAATAATGCCCAAATGAACTGCCACCAAACCTGAGATTGAAAATAGCAGATTTCCAGTAACTGGGCAAAATATTTATACATTTACAATACAGTCCCACTCTGATGTCTGAGGAAGTGGACTTGTCCACGAAAGCTCACATTAAAATATAGCAGTTAGTCTTTAAGGTACCACAACATTCTGGTTTTCTCTATTTTTCTTCTCTGTTTCTGGCCTGACATGTTAGCACAGACTAACACAGCTGCCTCTTCTAAAACTACTGGAGGGAGAAAGAACATCTGACAAGGCAAAATGCTGACAATCATGCTTCACATTTCAGCATGGTCACTGCCTTTAAGCATGGCAGATTCCGCAATACATCCAAAGTTTATATGCTTCCCCCTTCCCCACTGTAACTGGTACTGTACTACAGTGGTGCCTTGCATTGCGATGTTAATTCGTTCCAAAAAAATCACTGTTGCACGAAAACGTTGCAATGCGAAAATAAAAAGCCCATAGAAACGCATTAAAACCTGATTAATGCGTTCCTATGGGCTTAAAACTCACTGTTCAGTGAAGATCCTTCATAGTGGCACCATTTTCCCTGCCTCTAAAGCGAGGAATCTGTCCCAGAAAACAGCGGGCGGCCATTTTTCCCCCCGGCGGCCATTTTGAAACCGTTGATCAGCTGTGCGAAAAGGGTCGCTTTGTGATGATCGGTCATAACAAAGCAAAAATACCCCATAGGGAACATCACAAAGTGATCGCAAAAGTGATTGCAAAAACAGCATCACTAAGCAATTTTGTCGCTAAACAGAGCGATCGCTAAGCGAGGCACCACTATACCATATCTGTATTGGTTTTCATCCTTTAAGACGTCAATTTCTTTCCCATGTTTTCCTCTGGATACAGAATGTGTAAAAAGTCATTATATGCCATCAAGTCAATACTGACTTATGGTGACCTTTTTCAGGGTTTTCCAGGTAGAGAATATTCAGGAGTGGTTTATCATTCCCTTCTTCTGGGCTTACACTGGGACTATGCAGCTTCTCAAAGATACACAGGCTGGCTCTACTCACAAGGAAGCACAGTGGGGAATCAAATTCCCAACCTCTGGCTCTGCAGCATAAGCCACTGAGTTATAATGTGTGAAGCAGTTAACTGAACCGATGCTGTCCAAATGAAAAAGACATGAATGCTTTCACATCAAATTAGCTGCTGAACAGTCAGAAGAAGTGTAAGTCCTTAGCAAGTTCTATTGATTACTGTAGACTTGCAAAATTAAGGAAGTTACAGGAACCACAAATACGTACACATTGCCCCCCCAGCAAGCTGGGTAAATTAAAGAAGTTACAGGAACCACAAATACTGGGAAATTTCTAATTGTGTCATTCTATTAGATCAGATTCCTCCTTCCAGCTGCAATCTTCCACCATCTATATATGGAATCTGTCAGAACAAATTTGGGGTACATGTAACACTGCAGAAGAGAAAAAGGAAGCACAAAACTGTCCTGTATGAGCGTATGCCCATTTACGTTCTGCTGTATTTAAGTTCTGAGTTCCATGTTTGCAATGCTCCCCATTTACCAATTTGTTGAACAGTTTGTCAAATGTATCATATTCGTCAGGTTCAGGGATGGTAGCCTAGATGCACAACTACCAATAAACCTGTCCGCTCAATAGCTGTATTAATAATTTTGCATTGTTCGGTACTGCCAAAAATTAATTTATACTAGCTTGATAATATATGGTCAACAACAGTCTCTAAAAAATTACATACAACTGAGGAAGAATTGACATCAGCAGATGGGTCCATTTCTTAGGTACACTTCCACGCCATATGCTAACAGCACTGTACTACTTCGAAGAACACCAAACCAGTAACTCACATTTTAAAACAAAGTTCTGGACTGACTATCTGACCGTCAAAGTCTTGAGTTTATAGAGACAAGGCCAATGTCTGATAGCATTACATGCTCATATAGCTTAGGTCCCCGTTTTACCTCTGGATTCAGTTCCTTCCCCCTTTTTCAGTTTTCAGCTGCTTGCTAATCTCTTTGTACATACAATATTATTTACAATAGGTTTCATAGAGACAAAAATCATCACATATATTGAATTTAACTCTGTTCCTACCTCTCCTCTTCCATAACATCTCTTCCCTGTGTTTCTTGTGTACTTTCATATAAAAGCTTATGAGTTTCAATGAAATTCTTCTGCAAAGCAGACATCTGGGCCATGATCTTCTGTCGATGCAGCCTGGCTGCTTCTGCCTTTCGCTTCCTCTCAGCCTTCTCCTTGTCCTGAATTCTTTGCATCTTATTTAGTAGCAGAAAAAAGCCCAACTCTTTATTAATGGAAAGGACAACAGAAGTATTTCAAGAAAGGACAGGTTACTTACCTGTAAACATGGTTCTTCAAGTGGATTCTCCATGAATACACACTAGTGGGTTAAGACAGCGCTTGCGCTGGCCTCTCGGAATATTCTAGAGCTGCAAGAGAAAAGTAACAATGTTTTAGGTTGCCTTGTATAGCGCATGCTCCGCCCGCCAACGGCTCAGTTCCGTATGTCCGCCACATAGAGAGTTGGAACCTCCAACATCCACCAGTGACGAACATGTGGGGAGGCCAGGCGGGACGTGTGTATTCATGGAGAATCCACTTGAAGAACCATGTTTACAGGTAAGTAATCTGTCCTTCTTCAACATGGTTCTCCATGAATCCACACTAGTGGGTGACTAGGAAGCACACTTACTGGATGGTGGGACGTCACTGAAGTAGTGAAGCCAAAACAGCCCTTCCAAACTTGGTCTCAGCCTTAGCCCGAAGGTCCAACTTGTAATGGGTAACAAAAGTAGAAACATTGGACCAAGTAGCAGACCGACAAATCTCTTGAATATTGATCCCTCTGAGCAGGGCCATAGAAGTAGCCATGGCCCTGGTGGAATGGGCCTTGAGACTTTCAGGGATAGGTTTCTTCAACAGCTTATATGCTAGGGAAATGGTAGAGACCAACCACCTAGAAAGAGAGGATGATGAGGCAGGAGAACCTTTACGAGGCCCATAAAAACAAAGAAACAGTCTGTGGGCCTTCCTGAAGTCTTTAGTCCTGGTAACATAATAGGCCAACGCCCTGCGAACATCTAAAGAATGGAGCATGCGCTCAACTTCTGTAACTGCATTAGGAAAAAGGGTTGGCAAGATTAACGGTTGGTTAACGTGGAATTCAGAAACAACCTTAGGCAGAAACGTGACATCACGTTATCCTTAAAGAACTGTAAATACGGAGAGTCAGCACGTAGAGCAGCTAACTCACTAGCTCTCCTGGCTGAGGTAATGGCTACCAAAAATAAAGTCTTAAAGGACAAAAACTTCTAATCACAAGAGGCCATAGGCTCGAAGGGATGCCTGGTAAGACAATGCAAGACAGTCTGCCGTGACCACTGAGGTACAGGTTTCTTAGCCAGAGGTCTCATGTTGCAAAGTCCTTTGAAAAATGCCTTAAGAGTTGGGTGAGAGAACCATCGTGATGACTCCGAACCTGGAGGCTGGAACGCTACAATAGCTGAAGTGTAAACCTTCAGTGTAGACTTAGATAGGCCCAAATCAAAGAGATGTCTAAGATATAACAGTAGAGATGATAAGGCAACGGGTGAGGATTGTAATCCACGTTCCTTAGCAAATCTAAGAAAATTCCTCCATTTGTAACTATAAAGCAACTTGGTTGCAGGTTTCCAGGCCTTGTCAATGACCTCAGTCAATGATGGGAAATCCTCCACGCTGTCAAGTGGAGCGCATCGAGGTCTGGACGAAGAACATTCCCTTCGCTCAGTAGAGATGATAAGGCAACGGGTGAGGATTGTAATCCACGTTCCTTAGCAAATCTAAGAAAATTCCTCCATTTGTAACTATAAAGCAACTTGGTTGCAGGTTTCCAGGCCTTGTCAATGACCTCAGTCAATGATGGGAAATCCTCCACGCTGTCAAGTGGAGCGCATCGAGGTCTGGACGAAGAACATTCCCTTCGCTCGAGTAAGGGAAATCCTCCACGCTGTCAAGTGGAGCGCTTCGAGGTCCGGATGAAGAACATTCCCTTCGCTCTGAGTGAGTAAGTTGGGAAGTAATGGTAGTGTCACCTTGTCCACTGACATTTGAAACAGTATGGAGAACCACGGTCGACGCGGCCACCAAGGGGCAATCAGCACTGCTTCTGCCCTCGTCTGCAGTACTCTGACTATGACCCTCTGAAGGAGTGGTAGAGGCGGATAAAGGTAGATAGTATGGAGAACCACGGTCGACGCGGCCACCAAGGGGCAATCAGCACTGCTTCTGCCCTCGTCTGCAGTACTCTGACTATGATCCTCTGAAGGAGTGGTAGAGGCGGACAAAGGTAGATGAGGCCCCTGTTCCACGGTACCATAAATGCATCCCTGAGAGAACCTTTTCCCCTGCCGACGCGAGATGCATATCGTGGACACTTCCTGTTGTGTTGTGTCGCAAACATGTCCACTACTGGTTGACCCCATCTTTGACAAAGGGTAGTGAACACTTTCTGGTCTAGTTGCCACTTGTGGGATTGAAAAGGACGACGACTGAGCTCATCTGCCAACTGATTGTCTGAAGTGGCAACGTGGCCACTGGGAAGATGTGCCTCTGGTAGCACCATTCCCAGAAGTGTACTGCCAGAAACAGAAGAGACCTTGACCTTGTGTCCCCTTGCTTGTTCAGGTAGTACATTGTGGTAGTATTGTCTGTTACAACCTGCACAGCTTTGCCTTTTAGGAGAGGGAGAAAAGCTCTGAACGCCTTTATTACTGCCAGCATCTCTAGATGGTTGATGTGAAGAGACGCTTCCTGTGGGGGCCACAAAGCATGTATCTGGTGTTGTAAACAATGGGCTCCCCATCCCACTGGGCTGGCATCTGTCGTCACTTGTATGGTAAGTTGTAGAGGACGAAAGGGCCGCCCGATCAACAGATGCGGCAGAAACAGCCACCACTGGAGTTGGGTCGCAAGTTCTGGGGTGACCCTTAGGCGTTTGTGCTGATTGTCCATCGCCGGGTTGAACAAAGCTAGTAGCCACGACTGGAGAGAACTCATTTTGAGTCTTGCATGAGGCAGAGTGGCCGTTGTTGAGGCCATGAGCCCCAACAGATGTTGTGCCAGTTTTGCCGAAACTGTCCTTCGTGGTTTGAACCTCAGGACTGTCTTCCTTATTTTCCTGATGCACTCTGGAAGTATAAACATGCGAGCTTGTATAGCATCCAGCCTGGCCCCTATATAGTCCATCACCTGAGAGGGTTGTAAATGAGACTTGTCGTAATTGATGGATAGGCCCAAAGCCTGTAGGGTCTGCAGAACTTGACGAGTGTCCTGGTAGGCTTGTTGTTTGGACTTCGAACAATCAGCCAGTCGTCGATGTAAGGGTAGATTTGAATCCCTTTTAGACGTAGACAAGCTGCCATCCTGTAGGGTCTGCAGAACTTGACGAGTGTCCTGGTAGGCTTGTTGTTTGGACTTCGACACAATCAGCCAGTCGTCGATGTAAGGGTAGATTTGAATCCCTTTTAGACGTAGATAAGCTGCCACAGGAGCCATACACTTGGTGAAGGTCCGTGGAGCCGTGGAAAGGCCGAATGGGAGACCCACAAATTGGTATATAGTGTCCTTGAATATTAGGCGAAGGTACTTTCTGTAGGACTTGTGGATCGTAACGTGAAAGTAAGCATCCTTCAGATCCACCACTACAAACCAATCTCCTTTCCTCAGCAGGTGAATGATGCCTTCGAGAGTAACCATCCTGAACCTTCGAGAATTGAGGTAGGTGTTCAGATCCCTCAAGTCCAGTATAGGACGAAGACCTCCATCCTTTTTGGGGACGGTAAAGTACCGGGAATAAAAGCCGTTCAGGATGTCTCTGCGAGGTACCTTCTGGATGGCTTGCTTCTGTAGTAGGGTGAGAATCTCCTCCTCTAGGATGGGGTCGAGGGATGTATGCCTGACCCATCCTAGAGGAGGCAATTCTATAAACTCCAGGCGGTAGCCGGAGCTGATAATTTTCAAGACCCAGGTGTCTTGAGTGATCTTGTACCAGTTCTGGAGGTAAGGAGAAAGGCGAGTAGGATGGTGGGTGGTCCGGATGCTCACTGGGAAGTCAAAGGTATTGTTTAGACTTCCGACCAGAGGGCTTGAAAGACTGACGCTTGTTGCCATGCGGTTTGAAACTGGAGGCTGAGGAAGAAGCTTGAGAAGATCTTGCAGGTGGCTGAGGCCTGAATTGATGGAATGTAGAGGTTGTAGCCTGTTGGTACGGCTGCTGTTGTGTTCTGGAGCGCCACTGAAATCTAGATGGCCTTGACTGTTGTTGTACAGCGTATGATTTAGCTGTTTTCTTGCTTTTGTGTAGATTTTCCAAATTCTCGTCCGTCTTTTCACTGAACAGTCCAGAGGCGTCAAAGGGTAAGTTCTTGATTCTAGCTTTGATATTGTCTACTATGTTTGCTGAACGTAGCCAAGCGTGCCGTCTTAATGTGATGATAGAGGCCAAATTTCTGGCATTGGCATCAGCCACGTGACGTGATGCCAAGCGTTGATGCTTGGAGACAGTCTGTGCCTCAGCATGAGCGTTAAGGCATGCCTGCCTAATGTCCTCTGGTGCCACTTGGAGTGCTGGAAGCACTCTTGCCCACAACTGTTTTTGATAGGCCCCCATAGCAACGAGGTAGTTGAGGGCCCTAAGGGCAAAGGTTGTCATGGAGTATAACCTTCTCCCGAGCACTTCCAAGTCCCTTCCTTCTTCATTAGTAGGGGTTGGATAACCTTTGGTAGGTAATCGTGCTGCACTGGACTCTACGACGAGAGAATTAGGGGCAGGGTGTTTCAACAGACATTCAGTTTTTGGCCCGTGGACTCGATACATATTTTCAGTCCTTCTTGAAAAAGATGGGGAATCAGCTGGATGTTCCCAATATTCACTGATAAGGTCCATAAGCTCTGGTACATACGACAAACTAACAGGACGAGATCTCTCCTTATGAATATCTCCAAAAATGAGATCATCCTCACGTGTAGGAGACTTCTCCACTTCCATCCTCAAAGTTGTAGCCATCCTGGAAAACATCTGCGGGTAGGATGAAAAATCCTCAGATGGAGACAAGGGGTGGATGTCGGCTGCATCAGATCCTAGTGGTTCCCCTGGTAAGGGGGTTTCCAGAGAGGCATCAGATGTGCCCTCATATTCCTGGTCCGAGGAAGGACGGAAGCTTTGGTCATTTTCATCCTCTGAAGACTGAGATGGAAACGGTTGAGTCCCTCCTGTAGGCTTGGAAGGTTTCGGGAGGAGTGGTTCACCCGAGACAGGAGGGGGCGCCAAAGGCTTATCAGGCGCAGTCGACGTCGAGGAACCCGGTTTAGTAGACCGCCCTTCCGTCGACAGGACATGCTCCTCCTTATCACTTATAGGGTATTTGCGATGTCGACGTCTCCTCGGAGGCGTAGTGGAAGATGAGGGTGAGGAGTAATAGGTCCTCTTCCATAGTAGACCGCCCTTCCGTCGACAGGACATGCTCCTCCTTATCACTTATAGGGTATTTGCGATGTCGACGTCTCCTCGGAGGCGTAGTGGAAGATGAGGGTGAGGAGTAATAGGTCCTCTTCCATCGCCTTCTCCTATCCCTCGATGTGGAGGAGTCGTCGGAGGAGTAATCCCTCCGACCTCGGTGACGCCTCCAAGATCGTCGCCTGTCCCTGCTGTCGTCGGAATCCGAAGTGGAGTAATCTCGACGACGGTGCTTTCTGCGCCTATCGGTGTCGGAAGCGTGCTTGCGCTTGCAATGGCGCTTGGCCCTTTTAGATGGAGGCTCCTCCTCGGGATCGGATACTGGACGTCGAGGAGGGTCAGGCTCAACAGGCTGCACCGGTCTTCTCGGAGAAGACATGGGAGACTTGGTGGTCGGAGATCCCGTGTAAACGATCGGGATCGAGACGCCCGCCTGGTTAGAATAGGGCTATCAGGCGGATCGGTCAAGCCAGAGATGATCCTTCCAATCTGGCTTACCGTAGGAGACCTCTCGACAACGACCAATGGTTTTGGTCGAGGTGGAAGAGAGGTTCCAGGCTCCGACATGGACTCTCGATCGCGGGATGAGTCCTCTAAAATCGGTGAAGGAAGTGAGGCGGAGATAGGCGGGACCACAAGGGTAATCTCCTTAGACTTCGACACCGTTTTCACCAATTCTTTTTTCTTCTTTAGGTGTTCGGACGTCGATGGGACTGCGGAATCAGTTGAGGTCGAGGTAAGTATTTTCTTAGATGAACTTTTCTTCATAGACTTGCCCTTAGAAACTTTCTTAGAGGGCTTGTCCTTAGAAGCCTCAGAGGAAGTGGATGGAACTACCCGAATCTCTGACCGTACAGTAGAGGAGGAAGGTGCTACCTCCATTTTGGATGGCTGAGAAGCTGACAGGAGTAGCAGAAAAAAGCCCAACTCTTTATTAATGGAAAGGACAACAGAAGTACTTCAAGAAACACTACATTTTAATAAGAGTGAGAGTATAATGAATTAACACTAGTGCCACCACTGCAAATTGAAAAAAAGTATTGATTCATCTTGCTCCCTCTCCAAATCCCAACACGTTCCCCAAATACAGTACTAACCCATAAGCAATTGTCATCCATTCAAAAGCAAAGTCGAAGACAACTGCTCAGGCAAATGCACAGATGGGATACAAAGATTTGCTGTCCTGGCCCCAAATGAATTTTTTTCTAAGCAGTATTAATGATAGACTGGCTTAGGCCAGTAAAGCACAAACATCAATATGAAGCCTCTTTAGCATAAAATGATGGGCTATGTGCCCACTGTTCCTTGGAAGAGTCACAATATACATTTTCCATTGCACATGGAGTCACATGACTGTGTGTGATCAGAAATACCTATCCTGACTTCCTAATTTGCAGAAATTGGCTGCTGAAAGTTAGACTGATGAAGTTATGCTGGTAGAAATAATTAACATAATTCTGGTCGTTGTTATTTAACAGTGCATTTATGTGCTTAGAGTTCTGGACTTGGCATTTAAAATTCAAAAGAAAAACAACAATTTTTTCTTGGGTATGTATTATTCTTTCTATTGCAAAGTTACCTCATTGGCTTTCGTAGATTCTGGTGCAGCTGCAGCAGCTGCTGTGAGAAGGCAAGACTTTTCTCTTAGACGTTTTATTGTTTCAAACATCTGGGAACAGAGATTTGATGGTTAAAACACTGATTACAGGTGATATTTCCAATTTACTTTGCATGATGGCATCTCTTTGAGGATATTACAGTAACTTGGGTCTGAAGTATACTGAACTAGAAATAGCACCAATGTTCAGTCTTATATCCACTATTTATTGTCACAACTCTTATTCTGTACCTAGAATGAAGTACCATCATGCACTTTTCTCTACTTAGGCAGGCTTAGACAAACAATTTGTAATAACAGTATGTCCTTACAAAGCCACTCAATGTCCAAAAGGCACACATTTTGTTAATCACTGAGATGATAAAAATAACATATTTTAATGAACAAAAGATGGAAAAAATATATCCAAGTTAAGAGTAGTCTACCACTGAAACAAGGCATGAAACCCACTGCCTTAAATATTGACCTGCATTTGTTTGGAATAATATTTTGTCACACATAACTCTGTACAGTAAAGAAACATTAGTTTGTTTCATGTACTCTGACAAAGTCACTCAAATGCACATTTTTAGCAATAAATGCGGAATATCTTATTTAAACAGAGGTTAAGACACTATCTGAGCCCCTTAAAAGACATCTCTAAAAATCCTGAAATCCCTTATAGTGAGTTCTATTATGTGACCAGCCCATCATGCATTTCCTATGCTTTCTTCTTTTGTTTTTATCAATATTTATTAATGCAACTGATGAGCTTTCTAGCGTGCAACACACACTATTATAAAGTACTGATAGGTCTTGACCCATCAATTGCAAATCATAATCTAAATGCAAGTAGGAAGATTAACAGAGAAAGTGCTATTAGCTCTCAACAGACTTTTAGTCCAGGATTAATTATTAAGAAGAATCTCAATGGATCAAAAGGAGGACCTGTTTAATCCACCAAGCTGCCATCCCTAAGTTTAAATGCCTTATAAACTTTTAAAGAACTGTTCATTATTTTGACTAATCCTCTTTTAAAATAATCTTAGACTATAATAATCTTCAGAAATTGGAGCAGTGAATCCTACAAGTTAATTTTGTATTATGGAAGAAGTAGAGAACCCAAATTTTATTATTATGGGAAAGAAAGGAATTCTTTTGTACTCTCCATACATATAAATATTATCAGTACATACTGAAAACACCACACTTGTGCATTTTATTTCTAAGATTAAAAAAAAAGATCCTGCTGAGGTTGTCAACCCCACAGTAAGTGATTACAGTAATCATGGATACCTAACATATGCTCTGACCTGTTTTGTTCTGCTAAAAATATTGCTATAATCTAAACTTCATACAGTAGTTAGTTTACCTTTTAGCTTTTGCCTAATTGCATACTTTGCAGCCCCTTCACAGATTGCCGCCTTGTTGCGGCGAAGGAGCTTGAGTAATTTAGAGAAGCTATGGGCTATGCCGTGCAGGGGCACCCAAGACAGACAGGTCACAGTGGAGAGTTTTGACTGAATGCGATCCACCTGGAGGAGCAACTGGCAAGCCACTCCAGTATCTTTTCCAAGAAAACTCCATGGACAGAAACAAAAGGCTAAAAGATATGACATTGGAAGATGAGCCCCTCAGGTTGGAAGGCATCCAACATGCTACTGAGGAAGAGCAGAGGACAAGTACAAGTAGCTGAAGTGGTTGGGCCAAAGCTGAAAGGACGCTCAGTTGAGAAGGGGCCTGGAATTAAAAGGAAAGTCTGATGCTGCAAAGAAAATTACTGCATAGGAACCTGGGATGTAAGATCTATGAACCTTGGGAAGCTGGATGTGGTCAAACAGGAGATGGCAAGAATAAACATTGACATCCTGGGCATCAGTGAATTAAAATGGACAGGAATGGGCAAACTCAATTCAGACAATTACCATATCTAGTACTGTGGGCAAGAATCCCATAGAAGAAATGGAGTAGCCGCCCCGAGCACACGCTGTCTAGGGGGGCGGGATATAAATCGAATGAATAAATACATAAATAAATAGTCAACAAAAGAGTGGGAAAAGCTGTACTGG